ACATGTCTTATTTTCCAATTGCTCCTTAAATTTATATCTTGCGTCGACTGTTACACCAAGGTACTTAAATTGTGGCTACGAAATATTCTCACATTCTTCTATGGTGAGCGATATCTTTTCTTGACTTTTCCTGGCGCTAATGAGCAAAACTCCTGTGTCCGGTTCAGTCAGCACTAGACTCATGGTGGCAAACCGCACCGCTACGAGTATTATGCAGTCATTGCATTTGAACCGAAGGTCATCCATATGCTTAGCCAATGCTATCACAACGAGTATGAGGTAATTCGCATTTGTGATTGGTGGCTGTGCAGCATCGTTTCGCTTAAGATAGGAAATCGCGACATTAGTCGGCTGTTGCGACTTATTTGTGAACTGCAATGTTTAGTGTGGTTGTCGCCACATATGTAGATTTCCGAAATCATTGTGTTTGCTTTCAGCAAGTAGTGTACTTGTATGAGTTAGTTAGTATGAAGTCAATTGAATAATAACCAATCTTCTTTTATGGTTTGCCTCGGCTGAATCTGATTTGAAATTCGAAATAAATTATTTTCTTTAAATTAAAAAAGACCAAAGTTCGAGTTATAATATTTCGAGAATAACGTAAGAAACTCCAACAAAATTGTGTTTTGAAAAGAATAAAGCGATAAATTCAACATACAATCAAAAGGAATATGCATGCCCTGAGTGTACAGTGGGTTTCTTACCTTAATTATTAAATCGATGATTTGTGGGACAACTACCAAGGATTTTATAAAATTTATATCCATTTTACATTACAAAAATTAGAAAACATGAAAAAATAACTTACAGGTATAATTACATATGTGTAATATCAGATTTTTTTTGAACGAAAGCATTCATTGAATTAAACAGAGAGTTAAAGGTCGTAAATATATGATGTTGTTCAATCAAATTCCATATTTGACCACTTTTTTCTTAATGTTCTAGCTCATCATCTCCGTTCTAAGACAATAAATAAATAATCTGCCATAAGATGGCGACACCATCCATTTTGCTACCTTTCTAGTGAAACTATTCTCTCTCTGTTTCTCACCAAAATTTCGTAAATGAAACAAAAACGTTTCCGAATATTTGTGACAATAATGTCAAACTCCTATTTAGTTGCTGAGTATGAAAAGTTTGTTAGTTATTAACCCAAAACTTAATTTTTCTGAGCCATATTAAAATCGTTATCTTTCATGAATTGCCATATTTGAGGACCACAAAACATTTCAACATTCAACGTTTCTTTACTAAGCTTTAAACGGTTCACACAATTATAATTCAAACAATATTCTGGCACGTTCACCGCTTTAAGAATAATTGCTTTACAATTCCTAACTTCTCACATGTTAAATCACTGAGTTCACTTTCTGAAAACAACTTTGGCGTGAAAGTTTCACTCTCCCATTCACTTTTACCGGTAGACAGTACCGATTCATTGAAATTTGTGGAAAACATTGTTTTTGAAGAGCAATAGAGAAAGGAATTGCTATTGACTATATTTAGTTTTTATAAAAATCGCATATATTTCCGAGAAAAGGTTAAGAGTACTTCACTCTTGTCACCAGAATTACTACATTATTACATACATATACAGACAGATATAGATAAAACTGTTATTATTACTAAAAAAAAAAAAAGTACAAATTCTGTATTAATCGCTGAATATAGTTATACACCAGTAGATTTTCATTGTACCAAGCGTTGTATAATGCTCATTAAAATTTAATATTACGTATACGCCATGCCACATTGCATAATGTATGAAGAATCGATGGCATCATAGAATTTATTGCGACAAGCGTCGCTATCAGTTGCGGCTTAATGACTCTCTAACTAATCGTTTGCCATTCGCGCGCGATATGTTAGGCCAAATCCATACAAAGGAATTACCTGTTTCATTTAACGGCATTTACGGCTTAGGTTGATCCCTAGAACTAACGTTGCATTTGCCAGTAAAAATTCACATTAAAAAGCACTTAAACCACAGCCGGCAATCAACCATGTTGTGGCGTCAAAATCAACTCCGTTCTTAGCGCCATTTATTTTAAATTGCTTAAAGGCTAAAATTGGATTTTGTGCATTTAAAAAGCGTGTCAACACAGTAATTACACATAAATTCATACACCAACGCCCCTAATAGTAATGCTGATCGGCGGCAAAAAATGTAGTGCAGCATGTGATTTGACACCAGCACCGCTGTGGTGTTGCAAACATTACAACTTTGGCGTGTCGCCTAGTTGCCACTTACAGAATTTATGACCGCTTTGGCGCAAAAGTCACGTTGTAATCTGATTTAAAATTAAAAGTTTACAAGGTCATTGTAGTTTGCAGCTGATTTTTTTTTTTTTTTTGGCAGCTACATAAATAATTGCTTATTGCTTTATAAGGATGGCGAAACAATACTAATGGTGTTTGAATTATTAAAATGTGTAGATGAGTTAAAGCACTTGCTCTCACCCGCTTTGTTCTCTTGTATTTAGAACAAAATTTTTCTAAGTTATACACTTAATAAGAAATAGAAGTTCGCTTTAATAAATTGAAGAATACTTCTCCGCTTTTCCCAATTTATGTTATAAAAAGATTAGAAAAAACAGTACTATTTTTAACTAAGCAATTTATGTAGCATTGTAAAAATTGGTGTACTCAAACGACCATAAATACACACTGCGGTTAGAAGCCAAATAAAAAATAATTCTCTTTATGCATTATATAACAGTACAGCTTACGAGAACCATAAAATAAACAATATTGATGATTTCTAAAACATAATTACGACATGCCTTATCCACAGCTTGGAATGCAAATCACGTTCACCGATAAACTCCTTTTTACTGGGGGAATAACTTTCATTCCTTTATGTAGCTTTATAAATATTGAATACTAAAAAATTCGAAAAATGAAATCGCATTTCCTGCATTGCCCGTCGTTTCCGCTGTGTATTAATAATTTCATTGATAATTCTAAAAATTTAATCCGCCATAAATATTTGTGGCGGCATAATAAATTGCGCTTTATTGCTTTACACACTGATGCATACTAAATTAATGGTTTCTAAATTGAGTGCAATAAAAACAAAAGTTTTGTAGCTGTAAAGGGTATATTTTGTTCTAAAATCAAATGATAAAACTTACTTAAGGCTGCAAGAAAATTATTAAAATGTTTTTATTAGAGATATTCAATGAGGTGTAGAGTATTTATGAGGCACGAACAAGTGGCTACGTAATATAATACTTTGTGCAGTTAAGAGTAATTGCTGTGATTAAGAGCTACATGTATAAATAAAGTTCGAAAGTTGTTCTTTATTTCATGAAATTGCAAATTAAGTAAATTAGATAAATTAGAGTTTGATCTGAAATTCTTATAAGGGCGTGTTAATAGAAGAATGTCGGAAATCACCATCAGAACACAAGATATCAAATGATCTAGATCGCAATTCAATATCATTACTTTCAATATTTACTTATTTTCGCTATTAGGCGTCAATTCGAGACATCAAGTGCAGTCAGGTCCTTCTCCACCTAATCTTGCCAACAATCTTTCTCTTAATTTGCTTCCTCAGGCATGGACGGAATCCAAAGTCTTCACTGCTGGAGTGTTTTTTCTACATACGGACAACATGACCCAGCTAGCGCAGCCGCTGTCTCTTGACTCGCTGAACTATGTCAATGCCCCCGTATATCTCATACATACGATAGGTAGTCTGAAACCTGGCATGTTGTCAAAGGCGGCTTTAAAATCTATCTTGATTTGTCTTTTCCAATATTTGACGCATGGTGAAAAGCTGGTTCAGGTTTAAAGCTACACTGATAAGGTCCCATCAGTTTGTCGACGGTGGGTTTTAGTTTTTTATACAGTATGCCTGATAGAACCTTATATATGATAATAAAAATGCTTATATCAGTGTAATTGGCGCAGTTTGTGGGGTCCGCATTTTTTTGATTTGCTGGCTACACTTGTGAGTTCATCGCCACCGGTAGGCCGGTAATCCATCGGTTACTGCACTGCCGCTTTGCTGTTCCTCAAGCAAGCTTGAGTCCTACAACAGTTTGCTCCGGTCTTGAAACCTTCGGTTAGTCTTTCTATATACTCACGCATTTCGGCTTCCGTCTTTTTTTATCGCATATACTTACATGTCGATTCTCTATTCAACTCTCGGTATCTATCCCACCCCGTGCTTTGCTGTATCTTACACAGAGGCACACACGTTTCAGGGATAGCGGCGAGAACGCAAAAGTAAGAATAGGGTTAACCCTACAACTGTATCTGGTACTTTAGTGGCCTCAATCTGACTGTCTCCAACTTGATACCGTACTTATTATATTGTACATAAAAATACACTACAAATAAGAGTCACATACTCTTTATATTTCAAAGGTTTACGAATGCCGCATATTTTTTTTTTTTTTTTTGATTATTTGAAAATCAATGAGGGACTCCGTTTTGACAGGAGAGAAAAGAGATATTGAAGAAGGTCTTAAAAAAGGCAGCGAAGAAAGTATTGAAAAATGTATTTGAAGGCTGTACCAGAATAAGCATGATTCAATTGTGTCGAGAACTGGGCAAGCGTTGATAAGAGTGTATCGTACGTGGAGTCCTTTGAACGGAACAAAATTGATTTTGATGGATAAATGAAGAATTTGCTTTTTCAAAATACTTTTCGAGTACAGTATCGGATTATTCTTAATTGCACTGCTTTTATTTTCAAAAATGTTAAAAATTTACTTTTGTAAGAAGTGATTTTTATTGCCTTTTTCTACTCAGCAGACCGGACTGCAACTGCAGTTCCTTTATATTAAGACTTGCTTTTTGCATGATTTGTGATTGTTGTTACAATTTTTTTCTGAAGCTTAGCTGAAGTATACTGCAAGAGGAACTCTATTTGCCTGCTTTTTAATAGTCTTTTTATTTAGTTTTCAAGGGCACTTCTTTTTCTTGAATTATTCTTTTACCGAAATGTATACTCATATCATTCAATTATTTACACGCCACTGTAGAATCAAATATCTTGGATACGTCGACGCGACTGGCACATCCTTTCGTCCGGCGCTCAACTCTACACCAACGACGAACGGTTCGCGATACTGCACGCGCCCGGCTCCAACATGTGGACGTTGCAGATAAAGTTCGTGCAGCGGCGAGATCACGGCATGTACGAGTGTCAGGTGAGTGAATGCAATACACATACCAAACATACTATATAACGGTAGGTATATATGTATATGAGCTGAATGTGTGTGTGACAGCTTCAGTGATTTTTGCCACAAACTGTGAACACAACAATTTTCAGCTGGAAACACAAACGAACCGCTGCATTTACTCGTACCACATATGCTCCCCCACACACACACTAAGTACATGCCCATATAACGGTGTCGCCTGTTGTGTGCAACTCATTGGCCTTTGCTGTTGTTGTTGCTGTTTTCACATTGTAGCATGCTGCACATCAACCGTTCGCCATCTAAAATGTGTCACTTTCCCCAGCTGGTCATATTTTATTCATATTTTTATCTGCAGCTCAAATGTGGCTACGTCCACTGACCGTGCAGCAACAACTCAGAGCAACAAAAATATTCAAGCACTAACATTTATACAAATGCCAGCAATATGGGTAGCAATTTCGGAAAGGTGCTCTGACATGTGAGCCTCGAGTTTAATTTTAAACTTTGTTGTTGTATTTCTTCTTGTTTTTGTTTTTGTTGCAGCAGGTCACACGTGCAATATGTGGCGATAGGGGCGACAGCATGTTGTGCTGCATAACCAAAAAATGTAAAGTAATTAAAATACATACAAATAAATAAATTCGGTTGTAATAGTGAGGTGTCTAACTGAAATCATGAAACGTCACAACAGATTTATGATTCAAAAATTCTGAATGGCAAAACCCAGCAGTGTGAGTAAATGAAAAATTTGTAAAACTCCGGTGGTGTGGTCGGTTTTAACTACCGATTTTATTAAAAAAGCCGGACGATGGAAAATAGAAAGCATGTCAGTTGACGAGATGTCATTTCATTTGACAGCAGTAAGTGAATATGCAGATAGATGCATAGTAAGTTATGTAATCAGTGCTGAACTAAAACATGTTAGTCTAAATGATTTCCAATCTCAGCATTGCCGTCATTCAGATTTTGCTTGGTGATATGGCCTGATAACCTGTTAATAATGACAGCTTCTAAAATAATAATGGTTAGTAAATAAAACTGCTATGCTTAGATGGTGATTAACAAATCACAAGGCAACATTGGACAATAATGATGAGAGTATGTTATTAATAGATGTACAAGTACACAAATAAAGCTGTAAAAGTATTTTGTATATTTGGTTTGTTTAATAGAGCTAGTTTAAAAAAAAAAAAAATATAACGAAGGACTCCACTTGGAGGGTCTTTTACAACTCATAGAACCTCTATTGAATTTCGAATGGCAGGTGATACTGCTAATTGATTACGTCACCAAAGTTAGGCTCTGGGTTGTCTAGTGAGTCTAAAAGTACATTTTGTTCATTCGCATCTCAACTACTTTCCAGAAAATTTAGAAAATGTCAGGGAAGTGCACAATGAACGATTTCTGTAATATTATATTTTAAGGAAATGGAGAGAATTTCGAAGCAAATATATATCAAATGTAAAATGAAAGTTGTTGTGAATAAATAGCGGCAAGGCAGTGCAAAGGGTGACGAAGTCAGTATTGAAGGTCAGCCATATTTTAATGATTGTTTTGTGGCATTAGCATGAAATCTTCTACTGAGATCTCAACTTTAGCGAAACTAGCGACACTTTTAATTCGAACTAGTACTAGCAATATTTGCATAGTCAAAAGGTGGCAGTCCCTGAGGAGCGCCCAGCCTAGTTTATTAGGAAAGGTATACCTGCATTGAAGTGAGCGATTTATCTAGCATTTTCAGAATAATTATATTTAAGCGAAATATGCACCGTTTTGCGGTTTAATTTGTTGTCGTATTAAAGATTATTTCATTAACTCACTTTTATGAAAACCTTTCCTATTGGCAAGAACCTAAAGCAATGAAGCAATTCACAAGTGTTTCTGGTAGAAGATGCTTCCTAACCAAACTCCGGGACATTCTGCAAAGTTATTTACGATGGGTTTGGCTTAGCGTTGTTCTAATGAAACACAAGTATTTTTGTATATGTACAGGTCTTCATTGCTTCCCATTTTCACAAAACATGTAGAAAAACCTTCCTCTTTGATTCACTTTTAATCACCAATAACTCTCCACTTTAGAAATGGATAGATTTTATTGTGTTTCATCAAGGATTCACATATGTAAATTTGATCGAAAAGGTTTGTTTCGTTAACGTGTGTGTCACGCAGACATCCAGCGTCTTTTTGTAGCCAGACTAATTTATATGGTTGAAAAAAGTTTACATTGCGGACGCACTTGTAATTTTTCTTGATTTTTCTATAAAATCGACAAAATTAAAAGGTTTATTATTACCGTATTCTATTCTCATTTTCAGCCGCCTGTCTTAGATTTTTGCTTTTAAGGAAAAAAATATTTTGACAAGCGAGCCCAAGCACTACTGAAACGCATTTATAAAACCTTTGGTGTAATTTACTTAAGTCATTTATAGGAAAATTAATTGATCTTTTTTACCATATTTGGTCACTTGGCTCTCTGGATATCTGGATATTAAATAAAATTGTAAAGTAATTTTTAATTTTTGTTTTGTGACATCAGGTTGCAGTGATCAGTCGGCTCATCTTGACCTCAAAATAGAAAATCAATTGTAATTAATGATAACTCTTGTAAGGTAAGGTCGATATCTTAGCTAGATTTTGTGGAATGGGAAAACTGAACTTTTAATAACCGTCATATTTTTGACGCTTGAACACAAGTGTCACTACTGACATTTTATGCTATATAACTTTTAAATTATTTCAACAACCTGAAATATTACCCTCTTATGTTAGTAAGCTGAATATCTAAGTTTATGACGCTGAAACTGCAAATAAGTAGAGACGTAACTGCTCTGATAAAATGTGCAATCGATTGTTTTACTTGGCGTAAGAGTTACGAACTGTTTCAAATACCCTGAAGAATAAATTATGCTACAATAATAGATTTGAGAGGCAAGTAAAATAAGATCTATGTATTCCAAGTTACGTGTATTATATTCCAAGCTCATTTTCTCTGAAGGTATTTGCATTTACTTACTTACATGTACCGCCGAACTATGGTAATCTCAGAAAGGTCTTAGTTTTCTCTCTTAACGCTCACGTCAGGAATTCAAAAAGTTTTTTTTTGAATCAGCTTAAAAAATGCTTTCCATCACAACACACTAAAATCTCAAAAATTCAAGCATATCCATGTTTTTATATAAATTGACAGTTTTATAACAGAAATTTCATTTGCGCATCTACTTCCTTGCAGGTATCAACGCCGACAGGCATCATTTCGCATTTTGTGAATCTGCAAGTGGTCGTACCCGAGGCATTCATACTGGGCTCCGGTGAGCTGCACGTCGACATGGGATCCACAATAAATCTCGTCTGCATAATTGAAAAGGTAAGCACCGACCCACACACCCCCATACAAACACTTATACACTCACACACTTGCACGCGCAAAAAATCAAAGCAGGAGAAAATAAAAATATGCCAAGGCCAAAACCGGTGCAACAACAAACACATACATGTACACCAGTATAAACCTACATTTATAACTACCGTTACTGCTGCTTGCCAATACAGCAAAGTGTATTTACTTTAACATTGGACGTCAACAACTTTTGCCAAGATTTATGTTGGCCACACAATTTACGTTTACTTGCCACAGAAATTCAAATTTGTTGGGTTAATGAAAATTTATATGACGCGCTGCAAGCGCACACACACAGCGTCAGATACACATACATACGTATATGTGTATGTGGTAAGTGAGCAACGGAGCGAAGTGAGCAGCCGAGCGAAGTGCAAGTGCAGCACAGCAGCTGCAACAATTTCAAGTGCCATTAAATTTAATATAACTGAACGAGTAGTAAAATACTAACAAACGCAATCACGCGCGCTCACATACATATTTCATGTGGCTGCATACATACATACGTAAATATGTACATATATGTATGATTGAGCATACGTAAACTTACCGCAGTACTCACTTAGCGTAAGTCGTGCAATATCCTTTGTAGCTTCTAGGCACTCGGCGGTGATTACAATTACTTACATATATATATGCATGTGGCTTTTATAGCGACCCTGTTGGAAATAGTAGAGCTATTGGCGGAGAGATCTCAGTTTTAACAGAGTCTGGGAGATGTCGCGCATTTGTGATAATTTGTTTACCAATTGTACGATCTGTATTATATTTTAGTGGAAAAAAAGTATGGCAAATCAGAAAAAGTATTCTTCGCATCATAACTTCATACCGAAGATAGTTTTCAGAAAAAATTATAATAAAGTATGATGCCAGCCTAAACAGTTATTGTCCTGAAATACGTAGCATTTTGAGGTTGTTAGTTCGTTAAATCGAAACGAGTCAATAGAAAATAAGGCAAAACGTTAACATCAAAATTACCGTTACTGGAATACAAATACCTTTCTCAGGTGATTTATTGTTAAATAAAAAATGTTTCTATAAAAGTACTAGATATGATTGTTTTCTTCGAAAATGGCGACGTTGCAGTGTATTATGATAAATTCGATAGATATTTCCTCAAATTCTAAAGTTTTCTATGCAAAAGAATATCGAAATATCGAATTTTTTAAATCCGTAGGTTAACGAAATTTCAAAAAAAAAAAAAAAAAAAATTTTCTAAGTTAGTAGGTCTGGCCTTTATGAGCGCGATCTGTCAACGAGTTTACTTATAGGAGCTACTTAAGTCGATACACCGCAGTAAAGTTATTGCGATTTGTACAGTAGATAAAAATATCGAACAAATAATTTGTCTCAAATTTCATTTGCGGAATCGTTGCGAATGTTTTAAAAGGATTGCGTTGATTCAGTTTTATCAAAAACAAACTCCTACGAGTGATACGAAGCCCTCAAAGACGGTGGATAAATCGTTGAAAACATGCTTCGTTCTGGACTAATCTTCATCTGTTGAATTGTTGAAATTATTAAAAAGTGAAGGAAGAGGTGGCAATATAACTCAAAATATCTCGTGAGTCCGTTCGAATGATTTTGGTAGATATTTGGTTATCACACAAAACAAAAGTTTCATTACTATAGATAAAGTATTATATAAGAAATGACCGAAGAACTTGAACATTTTTTTTTTCTAAAGCACAGCTTCTACAAACAAAAAATTAATTTCAGATAAAAACTGTGCTTCATTACGAATTTATTACCAGAAATACTATACATATATTGCTTCGAGTTTACACAAAAGTTCTGTGATTTTTCAAGTCATTCGGAGAAATTAAGTATCGTCAAGGACCTTGGAAACAACGTTTCGTGAAAATTCCGTTTAAAGTTTTCGTAGCCGATTATACAATTTCCTACAACTTTTGAAAGTATATTTCCAAATATGTTCTTATTGGATTCAAATCCATCGACTTTTTAAAATACATAAGTGCATATGTAAGAATTCGGTATCCACTCATAACAGATATATTCCAATTAATGTTATTAATTCTCCTTACCCTTAGAATATATTATTAAGGTTAGACCTTTTTGTGAACTTCAAATTGTCGAAACAGCCAGATTTTTCCTGGAGAAATAGAGATAAAGCCAAGCAGTTGTGGCTACTTCTTTTTTGGTCTTTACCAGAGTGCCACGGAGTCGAGCGGGAGAATGTCGACTGAAATTACGAACTAAAGTTCCATGTCATATAAAAGTTTCTTAATAATGGTCTTCTAGTTAGATATAAGTTACACATATGTTTGTTACATAGAGCGATTTCAGTTCTTCTATATTCTATATTTTTATTATATACACAAACATATCTCCTGTTTGGGGAATAGAAAAACTTCCTTTTACATATTATAATATAACTGTACCATAGGAGAGTAAGAGTAAGTCTATCAACTAGTTACAAGTAAATCGCTTAATAGATATCCATTACAACATATCGCGAACTGTTCATTTCCTGTAGGGAACGTTCGTATATAGCCTATGCTTGTATGTATGTGGTCGTGAGTGAGTGCCGATTTCGCATAGTTAAAGTGAATTTGCCCGCAGTTCATGCTGCCAAGTGTCCTCACAGCAGCACGACACATGCACATACACATATTTATATATACATGTATATACATATATACACATGCAGTGTGCATAAACGCCAAAACGGTTGCAATAAAAGCACCGCACACACTGAGGCAGCCTTTTCAATGTCTTTTACGCCACGTTTGCTGCTGATTTTATTGCTGCGGCGACGGCGATTACGCCAAGTAATCCAAGCCAGAAACGCGCTGGCTTATGTACGCTGTGCCGAACGCAGCTGAAATTATTGAAATTACGAGTACACAATATTTTGTTGCAAGCGCTTTGGCTTTTAGCTGTTGCGTCTGCTAGAAAGCCGCTCCACACACACACGCACCAGCGTACGTAAGCGCTTGTATTCCGCGCGTACTTATCTCTTTGCTTACCGACTCAATTTTCGGCGGTTTGTTGCCGCTTTATTCACAGGAGTGCTCTTGCACAAACAGCTCTCAAGTTGCTTGGCTTGGCTAAAGTGTGGCAAATTTCGCGGTTAAAGTTTGAAATTAATTTTCCTAGAATTTTCGTGAATGTTTTCTAAACGAAAAGGATAGGAAATGTTTCGTGAAATCGACTTCTCAAAAATTTGCTCCGTATGCGGTTTGTATATTTTATTTGTCATTATTAACCTTGGTTGGTCCATGAAATCATGGTTTCGGATTTAACAGTGGAGAAACTTCAAAACTATTTCTTGACCAAAAACAACTAGCTATGAATATACAAATCTGGTGTTTAACTATACTACGGTGGAGCTACCAAGAACGACCAACCCGATTTTAATAATTTAATAATACTTAAAAAACATAGTTGAAGCAAAGTTAAAATAGTTTAATCTCAAATCCTACAAATGGTTGGTTTATCAGTTATCAAAGGCCATTTTAACTGTGTTTTTTAAAAACCGAAATTCAAAAGGTCTATTTCTTCAACCTAAATGATGATGTTACTGTACCTCGGAACATTGTAAATCTGTCCACCAAATATGAACAATTGGCAATAGAAAGTTGGTGCTTTAGATACTCTGATAGTTAATTTGAATCGAGCTGTGCTCCTATTATTTAGATTTCAACAGTTAATCACAGCACGCATCTGTACGTTAGCCAGGTATAAAAATGTCATTAAAATATTTCAAAAGGAAATAGGCAAAGTAAAAAATGTGTATAGTATTATATACTTTTGTTTCCGGTTAGATTCAACGCTAAAATTCATTTCGGGAGAGATATTCGTACAATGATCATTGTAACTTTAAAAAATTATCAAACCATATTTTTTAGCGTGCTTACAGTTATTACATTAAAATTGGTCCCATTCTGGGTCAGATTTGTTGCTCAAGACATAATACTGAAAATTAGGTGAGTGTGGATGCAATGTTACTATTATTGACTTTAAATTCCTAGATTAAGCACAAACCTAAATATTTATGAACGATTTGTCCAGACAGTTTCTTTTGTATCTTTAGGCAGTTATACTAACGACTTTAATATCTAAGCCATCAGTAATTATTTGCTGAATGTTTTGATAGTTTCCATAACATCTTTTTACGGGAACTATAAAAAATTTTCATCTGCTAGCATGCCTGTGTTTCATTTTTCCTGATAGCACTTCTCCATTAATGAGATGATCAGATGGATCCTCTCGTCTCACAGCAGCCAAATTTGGAAAGAAATCCAGATGACAGTCCAGCATATCTGTTTTTAAGGTCATATGACAACTCAAAATTTTATATGACAATATAAGTTAATTTAATAAATCTTTCGATTTTTGGGTTTCTAAAAAATTTTGGACAAAAAAAAAGCTGTTATTCTTTATCATTTGCTGTATTTGTAGATCTACAAATATTCCACCTGTAATTTGGGAATTTCTCTATAAAACACACCTGTAGTTTGGGAATCTCTGCACAGCCACAGGAAATTTCTCAATACTGTCTGGTCTGTTAGCCACGAACAAGTCTGGATACTGGATAGTCTGTTTCGACTTGGACCAAACGAAAATATTTATTTTTTACATGATGCTTTGGTTAGGTAGAAATCAATGGTGTAGCAATTGGCATATGGGTCATAATAAGTTTTCTAAATAAAAAATAGCTAATGTATCAGTTTGTTGATAGTTAGTTCAAAATTTCACGATGCAATGCACTTATGCCAACGGATTTTCCAATCTTCGGAACACTGGTTGTAGTCACTTTCCAGGAAGGCCTTCAGATCCGTCTTTGCTGCGGCTTGAATCTCCTCTATCGTATAAAAACGGTGTCCCCGGAGCGGTATTTTGAGTTTGGTGAACAGCCAGAAGTCGCACGGYGCCAGATCAGGTGAATACGGTGGTTGCGGAATGATATGGGTTGAGTTTTTGGCGAAATAATCACGAATCATGAATTACAAGGGCAGTATGGGATGGTGCTTTATCGTGGTGTAAAAACCAAGAATTGTCTTTCCACAATTCCGGCCTTTTTTGCGGCAAACGATGCAAAACGTTCAAATAATATTCATTGTTGACCGAATTCATAATGCACAACGCCACGATATTCGAAGAAAACAGTCAACATGACATTGATTTTTGAGCGACTTTGGCGCAATTTTTTTGGTCTCGGCTCTCTTTTGCCACAATATTCGCTCGATTAATCGGTTGTTTCGGGTTCGTAAGCATAGATCCAAGTCTCATCGCCAGCTGTAATGAGTTTCATGACACCCTGGTAGTCGGAAAGCATCGTTTCACACACTTCAACGCACCGCATTTTTTCCAAAAAATTCAATGTTTTCGCTACCAGTCGAGATTTGAAGCGCTTGAGGCCCAAAACATCCTTCAAAATGGTATTGCCTGAGCCTTTCGATATGCCAACTTCATCAGCAAGGTCTCTAATTGTTAATCGATGGTTTTTCAACACCAAATCTTTGATTTGTTGAACGTGAGCTTCGTCGGTTGAGGTTGATGGTCGCCCTGGACGCTCTTCGTCTTCGACACGTTCACGGCCGGCTTGGAACTCACTATATCACTTGTAAACATTTTTTTTGGACACAGCCGCATCACCAAAGGGTTTCTGCACCATCCTCAACGTATCCGCAGCAGAAAATAGCAAACGAAACACTCACTTTTAGCAGCTCACAAAACGACACGTATCTCAAACACTAATGAATATTTTGACATGAAATTTGACTACCAAGTACTACCAACCTAGAAAGAAAAATAATTATCCATTAAATTCAAATGTCACCTTATTTTTGGGCTCAGACTTTGCTATTTTAACTTTATCATATTTGTGCAGGAGGATTTCTTAATTTTATTGTTATCGCTTTATAGTCCAGCTTCTTCTCCTCTCGTGGTAATAAACACTTGAGACTAAATTTTTAAAATTTTCCCACTTACAATAATATCTAGTAAACCCCTTAAAAGTTTATTCGGCATTTGGAAATCTGTGTTCATATTTTCAATTAAAAGGGCATGCTGCAGTCTTTGAAGAAATTATGGAGCTCTAGGTATGCATGTACAACTTCTTTTGAACAACTCTTTATTGAAGCAATTCTTTAGTACACACAAAATGTATTTCTGTAATACTCGAAGAACTTACTAATGACATTTTAACATCTTCATTTTTTCACATCTTCACGTTTATTTATTTGCTTCTGTATGAAATCCATATAAATGGAGTAAAAATTTATATTCTTTGAGGTAAAGCACCTCTCAGAGCCACATTGTTTTAAAATTCGTTTTAAATGAAATACTAATTGCAGTCGGTCTCTACATGCAATTGCCACTGCCTTTCAAATTTCAAACTGAGCTATCTTAAAAGCTTACATCGAAAATCGAAAAACGTCGGAATTGCAACGAATGAAAAATTGGCAGCTTATTTTTCCAGAAGATTAATAAAATGCACTAAATGTGAGATAAAACCACATGATCTTTTATTACATAAGACCCGCCGTCAATAGCAGTCGGCAAATAAAGGCGAACGCCGCAACGTTCCATCAATGGCACACACATACACATAAATGATGTGCTCATGTGTGTGAATGCGTGCTTGTATGAGTGCGCATATTATTTCATGCTTGTATGATGTGGGAGAATAGCTGGCCAAATAACTGTCTACAAAAACAGAGATAAAACGCCAATGCGGCTCAAAAGATGAAAAGGGGCAAAAGCAACCAAGACTGGCAAAAAAACAGATATCGGGAAAAAGTATAATTGAGGAAAAAACTGCAGTTGAATGAGCGAGTTGGATGAGCAGACGGACAGCGGGCAGGGTGCATGGCTTACATGAAAATTCGCAATGCATCAGCGGTGCTGGACACGTACGCGCACGCATGTATGCGCATACGACGGCGCGCAAACACAAGCACGCACACACACATATATACAGACAACGGTTTGCATAGAAATGTGCGATTGTTTGTGGCGTTTCGTGGGTGCGCTCCATGAGCATACAACATTGTGTTTCTTTTTTACTGTGCGGTAATTGAATTTGTGCAACCTGCCACACCCATGCAACCGCATGTTCGCAAACTCGAGCACACACCCACACGCACGCACGCACACCCATTCACCGGTGCGCTTGCATATGTGTTTGCATGTATGTATGTGTGGCGGCATGTGAGCTTACAGTGCAGTATGCCGCTTGCCAGAATTGCAAGAATTGCTGAGGCATGCAACACGCCATAATGTACATATAGCAATACAGATAACTCCATGTATATGTGTATGTATGCATACGCTCATATGTATAAATGGAATGACTGATATGTTCCGTGGCTGGTTGTTTGCCATGCAGCTCACGCAAACGCAAGGCAGCAACCGCCACAATGCGAATACAAAGTGAAAAGTCTAAGTCACACACGGAGCGATGCCGGGAGTTGAGGTGTTAGATGACAGTGCAGCCTGCCAGCCGCAAAGCTAGTCGGCAAAGCACTGAAACTCGCTTAACTCCAAATGCGAATTGGTCGCAGGAAAAAAGCTAGAACACCCTTTTTAGTTTCATTTGTAAGTGGCCAGTGTCCAGTGCAGCGCGGTGAAGTTTTTACAAGTTTGCTGCAGCGACTGACTCTGCTCTCATGTGTGTTTGTATGTGTCTGTGTTATCGTATGGAGTTCGGTTTGTTTTGCTGTGCGCGCACTTTCATGACAAATACAATTTTTCAATTTTGAAATTTCTATGGGAACTTCAGTTTTCCTATAGTCTATGAACGTATACATATGTATGTATATATAGATAACAAAACATACTATATATAGTCTAAAAGCGTTATTCGAATATTTTCTTGTGCTCTTTTTGGCACATATATTGTTTTTTTTTAATATTTTTCTGTCCATGTCACCGATATTTTACAAATTTAAGTTAGTCTTTAGTGACATTACTTATTTTTAAAATAAGGAGCAACATATCCCCAAGCATGGTCTAAATAAAGAATGTTTAAAAGACTTAACTTATCAACCATAAATATACACAGGGTATATTAAGTAATGAAGAGCTAAGTTCCGGTGCCACCGCATATTTTATACTCTAGCAACTTGCAAAAATTAAAGCCAGGAAAATATCGGAGGATAATTTTGTGTTCTGGAAAGTATCGTTATATGGGGATGTGGGTTATCTTCCGACTTCACGCTGTCGATACAAGTTCTTGTATTATTTAAGCTTGGTGAATTTGCTGTTGTAGCTTTAGTAGTTTAGGAGATATGTACTATACATTAAACTTATTCAAAAAAAACTTTTTAAACTTTTTCAAATACTTTTTTCCCGGAGATGCAATCCCCCTTACCAAATAACAGTTTTATACCTTAATTCAGTGGTTACTTATGTCACTTTATAAGTTTTTCGTTTATGGCGATTTGTGGGCATGGTAATGGTCTGATAACATCATTTGCTTTGTACTCAAAATATCTGATTTTTTACGCAAGTAAAAGCATGGATTGACGGGCGGACGGGCAGACAAACTGTCACTCGGATTTCAACTTCTCTTTTCGCTCTTTACTAGTCAGAAGGTTCTACTAGAAGAAGGTTTCACCAGGATAATGATGCCAAGCTCATGGACAATGTCTCCCCAGAATTTCCGGGTGTTTGGTTGGGATATTCTCCGTCCGTTCCAAGCCCAAGTGACTGCCACCGCTTCCTGTCTACAGCAAATGATTTTTCTGTTGCAATATTCAATTCGCAGGAAACATTTGAGAAAATCTGTAGGAATGTTTTTGGCCAATAAGAACACGGGCTTTTCTTAGAGTGGTATTATAAAATTACCATAAAGATGGCAAAAAGATATCGAACCAAACAGAGCCTTTTCAATCTAAATCGCATTATTCTATCTATGCGAAATAAATTCTTGCAATTAAGAAAAAGTACTTATTTATATAGTATCCATTAGACACGAAAACAGTTATATCCTCAAACTAACCTTCGAGAAAGAGAGAGTTGAAGAACGATTCAGTCCAGTCAGTGTTCGTTTAAAACATTACTCTTTACAGTGTTAGATACTTATTGAATTTCCTCAAAAGAAAATCTGAAAAAATATTTAACCATTTGTTTGACTAATTTGATAATTGACACTGAATTACACTTTCCCAGAAAACTTAAAGCTTTATAAATTTTAAAACTATAAATCGTGTAATTTAAATATTTGTATTTAATTTCCAGAGTCCAACTCCACCACAGTATGTATATTGGCAGAAAAACGATCGCCTTATTAACTATTACGACACGAGGCGTGACATTTCAATCGAGACCACACCTGGACCACGTACACAAAGTCGCCTCATCATAAGAGAGCCACAAATCACCGATTCGGGAAATTACACATGCTCGGCCAGCAATACGGAGCCAGCGAGCATTTACGTTTTCGTGTCAAAAGGTGAAAGACTATTTACTGTATTGAAAATTCTGAGTCAAGTAAATGACAAAAAAGAGAGGTTTATAAGCTTACAGGGGAAGAAAGAACGTTATAGTAGTCTTATCGAAACAAAATTTGAGTTTTGGTTATAAAATGGTTATACGTTGGTTATATACTGATTATATAGCCAGTATATCTGAGAGCGGAAGCAGAAAATTTAATGAAGCTGCAATTTTCTTCATTTTAGGTGACGATATGTATCTACATATTTATGCATAATTTAATAATATAATACATATATATTTCTACAAAAATTCAGCCGTCAATTAGTTTATAAATTTTCCGTGGTCCATAAGTGCCTGAGAAGGGAATGCTTTTCAGTTTAAAACTCTTTGATACTACTTGCAAATGCGAACATAATCTAAGCTTCTTTATCAAACTCCAGCACTGCATACGCCAGCCATTAAAAGTCAATTATAATTTAGAAATAAGCAACTAGAATTTGCTAATATTGGCAGCAGCTGTTGTCAGCAATTCACAATCATCCAATTTGCGCTGGAATTTTTTCCATTTACCTAGTTTTAATATTTTTACGCTTTTTCATAGTTGCAATTTTTGCATTTAAATGGGATTTTACGCAAATCTACTCCGCTGGCAATCTGCTGCGCGTAGTTGCCATTTTGATTGTTGCCAAATTGTAGGCAAATAAGGAAAAATATTTGCATTAATTCATTTTGCACAGATTTGCATTCGAATTTTTAGCGATAATTTGCATTTATATTTCATGCATTATTTTTTACGCTTTTGTTTTAATATTGTTGTTTTTGGTTTTTGCAAGTTTGTTAATATTTTTTTTTTTAATTCTTTGCAGGCGATAATATGGCGGCTATATCACGAAAGACTTCCTCGGCCGATCGGATTGCAGCGATATTCAAATATCTTTTGGCCCCTTGTGTGCTGGTGAATACGCTGGGTATAAGGTGAGTTGAAAACGTTAGGTTTCCCAAAATGTGTCGATTGCTTTTAGAAAACTTTTTTAATTGTAAATATTGCAGCTTAAGATTTTCTGCACATCATTTTCTTTATAAAAAAGTAAATAAGAGTCAATTATAATCAAACACTGTTCAAGATAAAGGTTCCTTTAATGCCTGTTTCATCAAAATGGTGAAGATCGCATTTAGATTGTTATCTACGGTTTTTATGAAAACAAACTTAAACTCGTATATATAGTTTTCGATACGCTCTATACCGGTCACAAAACTGCTTAGGTTCTTTATTTCTATTTTCACTATTTCGCCTAGATTTGAATTGTTTTTTTCTTCATCTGGCAAAAGTTTAATATCCTCCAAATAGAGAATGCAGTCGTATACCTTCTGTATACCTAAGATGTTCAATCATACCATATGAATCGGTAACGATAGTGTGCAGTTAGAACTCCTATAGCCGTTAAAAGGTGGACCTTGCCGAGAGGAAAGAGTTCACTAGATTCCTTACGATTTACTCTGGACCAGAAGAATCTTGCGATCAACGCTTGCTGAACTATCCTGAGGACCAACATTCCAACAGTGAACTTCAAGAGGCCAGCGGAATTTCTACCCGAACTCAATCCATAGTTATTGGGACTGAAGTATCGGTCCTAGAAAACTCATTAGCTTTACAATTTCCTTCAGTACCGCTGTGATCAGATACCCAAATCAGTATATTCATATAATAACTTGATGCTAGAGTTAAGAACTCTACACAACTCTTCAAAAGCTTTAGCGCACAGTCAGCGAACTCAAGACTTATACCGTTACTCCTTTGCGCGAATGAATAGCCACTACTCCTATTACCATACTAAGAGTCTTGGGTGCAGTAGATCTACTACTACCTTTATGACAGCCTGCTCTGCTTGCAAGAAAGCCTACAACTTTAACTATAAGTACCTGTAACGGTCCTCCTCCACCAACCCTGATTTCGTTGTCCCCCATATAGGGGCAGCATACGTAGCTACGAACTAACTTACTTTGGCCATAAGGACTCGTCTAGCGCCGATATCACCCTTGACGATTTTTCACAGGCTTTGTCTATATGCGTCTTGTAACTAAACCTCGACTCCTAGATATCTCAAATATTGGTGTATCGTAATGGTATATTCGGTATTGAAAAATAATATTGAACGCGACTTCTAGATTCTTCCTACTTTTGATTAATACTGCTTCCATCTTTTGGTCAGCTAGTTGCAACTTTGTCATCATAAGCCATTCATTGATTTTTGTTGCTGCATGTTGGCACAAGGGATCTATTTGATGAATTTCTTTCGCTACCATCCATCATACACGCAGCACTCCATCATACAAAATATTTCACAAAATTAGCCCCAAGCCTGGGCCTGCTAGAACTCCTCCCGTCACCATATAGCTTTGTGGTCCTTGGCCTGTGCCAACTTCCCTCCCATGCTTCCTTTCGATATGTGCGTGAAGGTACGACAACCAGGACCAGTCTCAGCGACCTGGAAATCCAAGTATTTTTGAATGAAATTAAAGTGTGCTACTGCGAAGATTCCACATTACCCAAGCAAGTAGACATCTTAGTACCCAGATTCTCTGAGTCGGAGGGCAGCTTTCGCAGCTTTATATAGTAAGACATTGAGCGCCTTAATTGAACACTCCTCAATTTTTCTCGAATGTATTCGCGTCCAGCGTTTTACACCATAAAAAAATTTTGTAGAAGAAAGTTCCCAGCTTTTGCCAATGGCTCCTAACAAGACAGGACAACCGATGCCTTCCTTGCTCTTTCTTCGATGTTGGGTTTTATATAAGAGCTTGCTGTTTCTTATACTACCGAGTAGATTTCATGAGATCTATTAAGATCTTTATCATCAATTGGATAGTCAGTTCGTGATGCAGCTAAGTATATGCTATAGTGCTCCGGCAAATAATCGGCTTCCTGGGGAGAAACGGAGGGTTGCAAAATTTTAGTCACATCAATATCTCAAAAGCTAATGTCTCTAATGACAAATAAATATGATCATTAATATGTATACCTTCGTTAAAGGCAAATCCGTTAGAGAAACGCTCCGCGAGATTAATGTTGTTTTGGGGGATGGCACTCTATCACTTTGAACTGCGGACGATTAAATCAGGGAAAACATCGTGTTAGACCGGCATGTGGCATCTCGTGACACCGCCCAGAAAATGGGAGTTAGTCACTAAACCATTTTATACATCTGGAGAAGGCTGTTATACACAAAACACTTGACGTTGGGGTGCCGCATGATTTGACGGAAAAAAATCTTCTGGACCGAATCAACGCCGGCGATATATACTGCTGAAACGGAACGAACTCGCCCCATTTTTGAAGCGGATTGTGACTGGCGACGAAAAATGGATCACATACAATATCAACGAAAACGGTCGTGGTCGAAGGCCGGCGAATCGTCCCAAACAGTGGCCAAGCCGGGATTGACGGCCAGGAAGATTTTGCTGTGTGCTCAATATTTTAACAAATATGTCTGTGGAAATTTGCTATTTTAATGCTTCGAACGAACCACGAGCTATAGTCCTTAAAATGTCTCCTATTTCCTTTGGTTTATTTATAGTAATCCTGAAGTAATGGTATTTATTCGAAACAATTCATGACGAACGGCATAGTTCCTATTGTCTATCTATTTACTAGGACTATAAAATGGGTTTTGAACAGCACTTCGATTGAAAACTCGACTTTTCTAGATCAATATACATATTCTTGACCACTCTAAAAATCTCTATTCCATTGCGTATTACTCTGTTTTACCTTGTTCTCCAAGGAATCAAAAGAAAAAGTCAACATTATGACAAAACGGGAACGAGCTTTCAAATTTTGTGTTAGTTTCCCTTAACTATTCCTAATGCTATGAAAATAAATAACACGGCTTGACTTCTTCATATTTGAAGGTAAACCATGAGCGAACGTCGTTGCCGACAATTGCGCAGAAAGCACACTCATAAAACTTTACTGACGCCATTCAACTAAAAAAAACCTAGTATTTCACCTCTAGTATACACTTAACTAAATTTACAAAAATTGAGAAAAATAGTTTCTATTTAATTCTTGTCTTATATAAGTTTTTACCAATTGCTCAAATTTTTTTTTTTTACTATAACCATAATTAAACTAAATGAAATAAAATTATATAAAATGTATTTAATTTACAATTGAAGCTGATATCATTAATCTCAACTAATTTCTTCTTCATTTCAGGCGCATTTTTTTAACCTAAGACTTAAATTAAACATAACGAATAAATTATAAATAATCCTATTTAAGATATTTTCAATTAAGATCTAACAAAAAATGCAGAAAAATATGGAAAAAACTATCTTAAAATAGCAGTAAACTATAAATTTTAGCACAATTTAAATATGTATTATTTATTAATGTTCCAATAAAAAAATAAGAAAAAAAAATTAAAACAAATAAATAAATAAACAGCAAAATAATGAAAGTGAAGCGAGCATTAAATTGTTGCGAGTAAAAAAAACTGTAAATAGCGTTAGGATATTGACACAATAAAAAATACTTTAAATTAAATGTAACTGTAAATTACATTAATATGTGTGAGGCATATTTTGTTATTAGATTACAAATTACAAGACAAAAATATCATGTGCGCAGGCATATGTGTAAATTAAATTGATTAAAGAGATGTATGTATATGTATGTGTAATTACGATTAAATTTAGTATTAATTTTGTAATTCAAATTTCATAAAAATTTAGTATATAATTTGTAAAATTTTTTTGTATGTAAAAAGCATTTAACCTGCTCAGTTTGCGGCGCGAAACTTTGTACATTTTCATGGAAAAGGAAGGAGAACAAAAATAAAAGAAAAAAACTAACAAAAGCAAATAAACAACAACACACATAAATTAGTATTGCCATTAATTGTAATTAATTAAATTAAGGTTTTGTTACGCATTTACGCTTATCCGTTGAAATCAATTAAAAACCTAAGTGAGAGTTCATAAAAAATACAGTTATATATATATATATATACATATATATAAATTAGGAATGAACGCTTAATGGAACATAACGGGCGAGCGCGAGAGTTGGGTTTAAGCGAACTGGCGTGAGAGAAATAATTTATTATATTTAGATGTTAATGAATTTAAATATAATTAGCAAATAAATGACGTAGTGAAACTCTAGTTAAAAATATATGTAGAAAATAAATAAATAATAAATAGTTTAAAAGATATCAGAAATAAGCTTAAAAAGTGAATACACAAAAACCGGCTAAGATAATTTGTGAATAAAAGGCAAATGCGAAAAGACGCAAGCGCAACAAAAATATTGATAATAAGCAAGAAACCGAAAATGAGATTATTATAAATTCTATTAAATGTAGAATCCTTATTAAAATTCCATGAAAATTAAGCAAACAAAAATAAGACACTACAAATGTTCACCGAAACTGCCGAAGCAGTCAAATATGGCAATTAGAAATGAAAACGTGTATGTATGTAGTACAGTGGACAGGAATTTTTTTCATGTTTTCAAGTTATAATTTTCTTTGTTTTTTTGTAGAATATTATTCCATTAAGAGCTATCATTTAGCTGAAACAACATACCGACTGCACCGAAGCTGATATACCCTTCACAGGTGCATTTCTTTTAGTAACTATGTGTTCAGTTTGTATGGAAGCGATACGCTACAGTAATCCGATCTGAACAACTTTTTCGCAGTTTATATTATTACCTTAAGCAGTAATTAAATTCGTGAAGATACCACGTCAAATGCAAAAGTTTTCCCTTGATTCCGATAGTTCGGTTTGTATGGTAGCTATATGCTGTTGTAACTCATACCAAATTTCGTCAAGATATACCGTCAAATGAGGAAGTTTCCAATGTAAGCATTTCATTCCGAACAATTTCTTTGGAGATTACATTGTTGCCTTAGGAAATAATCTCTACCAAATTTCGTGAAGATATCTTGTTAAATGTGAAAGTTTTCCGTACAAGAAGTTGATTCCGATCGTTCCGTTTGTATGGCAGCTATAGGTTATAGTGGTCCGATATCGGCAGTTCCGACAAATGAGCAGCCTCTTGAAGAGAAAATGACGTTTGCGAAATTTCAAAACGATATCTTAAAACTGAATAACTAGTTCGTATATATAGACAGACAGACAGACAGACGGACAGACAGCCGAGCATGGCTAAATCGATTCAGCTCAACGTACTGATCATTTATATAATTATATAGGGTCTCCGACGCTTTCTTCTGGTTGTTACAAACTTCGTGACAATCTTAATATACCCTGTTCAGGGTATAAAAATTAAAAAATATTCACACAAAAACATTTTCTCCTTATATTTTATCCCAAAAATAAATGTTTTAATAACTGTATAAAACTCAAAATATAATACATTAACGTATTAACTACAAACCCAAAATTTCATCTTATAATAGCCTCATATCTCCAAGAGATTGCCACACGTCCATAATTTTAAACTAATAAATAGCGCCTTTCGATTCTCTAAACGTTGAAAATAAGTGAATCGAACAAACTATAACACGCACCCAAAAACCTATAGTTTCCCAAACAAAACGAAACATAATGCACGAATAGAGAAGCGTACGTTCTTCATAAGGTTTCTTAAGTACAATAGGCCCCCATAAGGCTCTAACATGGATTAATAATAACTAATCAGTTGAATTAGATATTAATTGCTTATATAATATCGGTTATTAACTTATATTCTTGCTGAAAGGTCGAGAAGACTGCAGGATAAACTTGTATTTAGAGCAATAACAACTAGAGTCCACACGCTATCATAAACTGGAGGAGTATCGATAGTGAGGCCGCAGAGTCTTTTAGAATTCGAATCAATCGCAGGTACCCTAAAGGATGACTACTCCCCTTGGGCCTATCAACTGAACTGCATCTGGTATCGCAAAGGTCCAAAACTGGACTATGTGTGTCTTATTGGCCTACCAGATGAACTTAACCTATATTCTTGAATAATTGATTTGTCTGATTAATCTCTAACGATATAGTAATGCAACCAAGAATTTCCACTTCTACGTGCAACATAGCCAGTATTCTTTATAATTAGTACTTGAGCTATAGCCTTATGAAAACTTGTTTAATATACTACTATGTATATGTATATGTTTAAGGAGTTTTCCTTTACCCTTATGATATAGATGGTGTACCTCATTATATGTAGTTAGTTTATTTGGAGTGTAAATCTTGAAAAGATTACTTCGAAATTCTTAAAAGCTTTGAAGACGATTATCATGCTCAGCAAGAGAAACTAGGCATAGGTATCTTACTCACTGTCACTTACCTTTACGCTTGGAAAATGTTATCAATCTTGATAAATCTCATTAGTAAGATCTTCTGTTGTCACTATTTGACTGAAGATGCTCGTAGTCGCTCTCTGTTTCGATTTCTATGATCTTTCTTTCGAAGTCACACGTATGTGTATCATTTCCATCTATCCGAAAGAGTACTTAACAACTTGGACTATGTATAAATACAAGTACTTCAAATTCTTAGAAGCTGCAAATATAATATTGATCCTACCATACTATTACATGGAAAATATTGTACTAAAGTTATCCAGAAACAAACCTTATTTATTTTAAAATTGCTTTGTAATATTGCTACCTCTTTTACTTAGTGAGTCTACGCAAGCATTCAAAGATTTCCTTATTTTATTATACAGAACATTTAATATTACAAGTATATAGCTTGGTTTACGGTAGTAAATTTTTTGGCCACTGTACATCTGCCGCATTGTAACTATATTGAAATGAAAAGAAATGAAGAAAATACATACATAACTATTTGTAGATAAGCGCATTTAATGTACACAATTCAGTATGAGAATAAACAGACATTCAAATCATTAGTCAAGCTGTTGGAATTATTTTAATTATTAAACTTCAAGCAAATATTTGAGGTGAGTACGTGCTTGGATAAAACCGACCTACAGCGTTATAGCCTAAAATACTAACAAAAACAAAAAATATGTCTGAATTAGCTGTCATACATTAAAAATGAAAAAATTCAACTCGATAAAAATCTGAAAAATTTTACCCATAAATAATTTATTAAAAGATATCAAGGAATCAATTAGAAATCGTTATTACAATAGACATTTTTAAAACAACTCAGAATGCTAACAAATTAACAATTTTACTCCACCAGTCATACTTCGAAGGAGATTCTTTCATAAACCGCCTAAAACTGTATTTTGACCTTGGAAGCATTCTCCATGTTCTTCAGAATAAACTCTTATATTCTCATTAAACTTTGCTAAATAAAAATGTAACAAGTGAATCTTACTACATCCCAGGATGGAGAAATTCGTAAGCATGTCAATGATTAGCTCGTCATATGGCTGCCAGAGAACTTATGTGCTACAGCCTTAAAACTGTTCCAGGCTTCTTTCTCCTCATTGTTCATTGTAAGTTCAGGAAATGATCTCAGTGTTGTATTATCAAAATAAGTGGCCTCCAATTGCAACTTTTCGGTTTTCATTATTGTCAATGGAGATTCGATTATTTCCAAGAAAAGGTGACATTGAATGGCCTCCAAGAAGTTGTGATTGAACAATGTTAGACTACTTTTTTTTTTTGGTTATTTGAAGTCACCGATCTTAAGCTATAAACCAGACTATTTTCATTTTACTTGAACAAAGGTTTATTTAAAACTTAATTGTATCGATTGTGCTTCACATTAAATAAAAAACCTTTAAATTTATTCAACAACTAGTTTCTTTTTTTAAAGTAATCATATCACTCTTTTGGGAAAACTTTGTATTTGAAAGCTTCGAAATTATGACTAAAAATCTTTTCAAATTCAATGAAATCCACTTTAAAATGCAATATCGGCATTAATGCAGTTTTTGGATAGACATTTTTTTCCTCTATCCCACAGGAATACCGGGGTATTTTATTAACAGTAGTTTAATAGCGTCTTCATTTTAGATATACGGAAGTATCCCTATAATAGGTTAAAATTTGTTCCCATTGTGAAATGAAACAGCTTTTAGACTTTATGTTGAACTACCAATAAAATGCGTTTCATTTGTGAGACAAGGAATAACAATTTCTGAATGTCGTTTTCTTTGATAGGATCTTTGAACATTTCAATTGTTTTAACCGCAATGTCAAAAACTCTGCCTTATTTTCAGATATTGTTTAGTCTATTATTATATGTGACCTGGTCTACGGAAAGGGCGAAAGGTGTCAAAAAATCAATTTTCACTTTTTAGTTGATTCGGATGGAAGATGAGATGCTTCTCACGTGAAAGAAAACTAGTTTTCGCACGT